ATCACATCACATCACATCACAAAACATCACATCACATCACATCACATCACAAAATATCACATCACATCACATCACAAAACATCACATCACATCACATCACATCACAAAATATCACATCACATCACATCACAAAACATCACATCACAAAACATCACAAAACATCACATCACATCACATCACAAAACATCACAAAACATCACATCACATCACAAAACATCACATCACATCACATCACATCACAAAATATCACATCACATCACATCACAAAACATCACATCACATCACATCACATCACATAACATAACATCACATCACATCACATCACAAAATATCACATCACATCACATCACAAAACATCACATCACATCACATCACATCACATAACATAACATAACATAACATAACATAACATAACATAACATAACATAACATAACATAACATAAAACAAAACAAAACAAAACAAAAAATAAAGTTAAAAGTAAAATAAAATAACATTAAATTGAATTTAAAATCTTTGCTGATTTAGGGGTAGATTTTGTAGAATTCTGCAGAATATATTTAAATATGGTAATAAACAACTGAAAACGTATTATAAGCTGAAAGCATAATAAAAAAATAATAACACAAAGCAAAAAAATAAATAAATAAAAAATAAAATTCTCTGATTTAGGGGGAAAGTTTTGTAGAATTTCTGCAGAATATATTTAAATATGGCAATAACTAAAATGTCCTAAACTCTTATTGGAAGCTTTCTGCACAATTAAATAAAATCTAAATCTAAAATAAATAATAAAAATAAGAATAAAATAAAATCTACTAAACTCTTATTGGAAGCTGAAAGCATAATTAAAAAAATAAAAAAATAAAAATTAAAAGAATAAAAAAAAAAGAACAAAATATATAAAAATATAGAATAAAATAATCTGAGATTAAATTACATTCAACTAAATCTTTGCTGATTTAGGGGAAATATTTTAAATATGGTAAAATATGCAATATGGTAATGAATAAAATGTCCTAAACTCTTACTGGAAGCTGAAAGCATAATTAAATCAAATATGGAATACAATAAAAGTAAAGAATAAAATCAAATAACTATTACAATTATTTCAAAATTAGCCCCTTACAACGTTCACATGCATCTCCACCTCTGATGTTACTGAAGAGCATGCACATCTCATGTCATCTCTGATTTCATGCAGAAAGTGAAGCCAGTGCTCAGCCGCCAGCGCGTGTGACATCCCACAAGAGAACAATGATGACTGAAAACAAATTATGCATCTCAGAGATGCTTCTAATCACTCTACTCCTTGTTGCCATAGCTGCAGTCGGCCCCGAGGAGCCGCGGCGCTACGGGAAGAAAACTAGCAGCGTCTACACTTACGAGTCCACGTGATTCTCAAAGGACAGGATGATGGGGAACGGAGACGTCTTGAACGCACACTCAGCGATGGCTTCGATCACTTCCTGGAAAATAAGAACAGATTAAACTGAATTTAGTCATTTATCTAACATGAAATATTTCAATATGTCAAAGTGTAGTAGCTCTATTTATATTGTTTATTTGTAATTTTTTAATGCGGTTATAATATTGAATGTACAGCTGATTTTTTTATTATTGTATTTTCTATTTCACTTGTTACTGAATACAATGTACATTAATTAGGTTTTGTTTTATTATATCAATTAAACTATTCACTACCGGTCAAAAGTATATATGGACTAATTTAATTAATGGATTTTAATTAATTATTAATAATTGAGCAGCAAATCAGCATATTAGAATTATTTCTGAAGGATCATGTGACGCTGAAGACTGGAGTAATGATGCTGAAAATTCAGCTTTGCATCACAGGAATAAATTACATTTTAACATATATTCACATAGAAAACAGCTATTTTAAATCGTAATAATATTTCACAATATTACTGTTTTAATGTATTTTTGATCAAATAAATGCAGCCTAGAATGTACTAAACTCTTATTAGAAGCTGAAATAAAATATATACTGAAAATAAAATAAAATTAAATAAAACAAAATAATAACATAAAATAATAAAATAAAATTATGCAAAATAGATTTAAATATGGTAATAATTACAATGCGCTAAACTCTTATTGGAAGCTGGAAGCATAATAAAATATAATAAAATGTATTAAAATAAATCAAACAACAAAATACAGAATAAAGTCAAATATAATAAAATCGTCACTGGTTTAGGTGGAATTTTTTTTGGAATTCTGCAGAATAGACATAAATATGGTAATAAAATGTGCTAAACTTTTAATGGAAGCTGAAAGCATAATGACATAAAATATAGAATAAAAATAAAGAATAAATTAAATAATTATTAAAATGTATAATTATTTTACAATTAATACACTTTAATAAAATGAAACAAGCACTCACAGGGCTATTAACTTCTGCAGACTGATTTTGTTTGCGACTGTGTATCAGACAGTGAAAAAATGACTCTCATTTTATGGAAACGGCTCCAAAAGCAGAAAATAGCTCCGAGTTAAGCACTACTTAACTGTGAGCACTGATGAAAAGCTCAAGCGTAACCTAACTCTCGTGTGGTGGAGTGCTGCGGGTCACCTTGAAGGAGATTTCTGAGGTCATGGTGAAGCCGTGTGTGATGACGGGTTCCTCCTCTGCCGTCCGGCCCTTCCAGCAGTCCAGCTCCACACAGCGACAGCCAGACAGCAGCGTCTGCCGGTACATCTCAACAGAGGAGTTCCCCGCGAGCTGCCCCGCTGACAACACATACACACAAACCCTCAGCAAACGCAAACTAATATACACTCAAGCAAATACTTGAGCTGTGTGGTATGTGTGGCTTGTTTCCACTACGGGATAAAAAAATGTAAAATGTAATTGAATTAACAGAATGAAGTTTTTTTGAAAATCTAAAAATGCAGAAAGTCTCCTGTGAGGGGTAGGTTTAGGGGTAGGGTTGGTGTAGGGCAATAGAATATACGGTCTGTACAGTAGAAAAACCATTACGCCTATGGAGAGTCCCCACAAGGATAGCTGACCAGACGCGTGTGTGTGTGTGTGTGTGCATGTTTATGTGGTTTATGAGGACACAAATTTGTATAATAACAAGGCTATGACATAGGTATTACAACGAGAAGGTGATTTATGAGGACATTTCAGTGTCCCCGTAATTCAAAAGGCTTATAAATAATTCAGAATTAGTTTTTTTGAAAATCTAAAAATGCAGAAAGTCTCCTGTGAGGGGTAGGTTTAGGGGTAGGGTTGGTGTAGGGCAATAGAATATACGGTCTGTACAGTAGAAAAACCATTACGCCTATGGAGAGTCCCCACAAGGATAGCTGACCAGACGCGTGTGTGTGTGTGTGTGTGTGTGTGTGTGTGTGTGTGTGTGTGTGTGTGTGTGAGTGTGTCTGTGTGTGAGTGTTGCGGTACCTGTAAGGTAAGTGTTGTGGGAGGAGTTGATGAAGTACTGAGAGAGAGGGAAGGTCATGTCTTCACTCTGGTCCAGTTTTTCTGGAGGAATGACACTGTTCTCCTCACTGATCAGATACCTGGCGAAGCCCTCCACTGAGATCTGCCCTGTTACACAATTAAGATAAAAAAGGTGCATGCATCACATTTCAGTAGAGAAGACAATAGGCATCATTTCAGGACTTTTAAACGGCAAAATTGCATTCCCAACCCAGCTGACTCCTGTAACGTGTTATATTTTGACTGTAAGGGGTACTATCATTCAAAACTTTGAGGTCGATAAGATTTTTTTAATGTTTTTGCAAGAAGTCACCAAGGCTGCATTTATTTGATTAAAAATAGAATAAAAATAGTAAAATTGTAAAATATTATTACTATTCAAAATAACACAATAAAGAAAACTGATATAAAAAAATGCTATAAGAATATAAACATTTATTTTAATAGTTAATTGCAAAGATACAATTTCTAATTTTCATTAATAGAATAAATTAATGAAATAGAATAAAAATAGTAAAATATTATTACTATTCAAAATAGCTGTTTTCTATGTGAATATCTGTTAAACTGTAATTTATTTCTGTGATCAAAGCTGTATTTTCAGCATCATTACTGCAGTCTTCAGTGTCACATGATCTTCAGAAAAAGTATAATTTTTGCTGCTCAGGAAACATTTCTGATTATTGCATTTTCATGCATTTTATTTTTCAGGATTCTTTGAAGAACAGAAAGTTCAAAGGAATAGCCTTTATTTGAAATAGAAATCTTTTGTAACATTATAAATGTCTTCAGTGTCACTTTTGATCAATTTAAATTGTCCTTGCGAAATAAAAGCATTCCTTTCTTTCAACAGTTGAGACGATTGTGTATTAAGTTCATGACAGTTGAACACTATGCATGCCACAGAGTTGATTTCACCTCCGAATATTCTCACTCTCTTTCTCTCTTTTGCACCTAAAGTAACAACTCATCTCGTGGAGTAAATTAGCACTGCGATTGCAAACAGACTTCAAATTAAACTCAAGCTGGAGATCAGCACTCCTAAACAGCACTCGCGGCTGAAGGGAAGCCACTCGGGGACGAGCGTCCCCCGTGACTCATTCTCACCAGCAGTTTACATTAATTAAACTTGTTCTTTGCAGAGCTCCGGAGGTAATTAACCACGGCCCTCTTTTCTAGGACGGCACGACGCAGGCTGGATGACATGTGTCAGAGCAAATGCAGGGGGGATCGCTCCAGAGCAAACAGACACCGAAATAACACCAACCACCTTGCTGTCCCGAAAGGGGAGTCAAATGGGTTTTAAAGACTACAATTACCACACACTGCTGAAATTCAGCAATTGTCCTGTCGAGTTAAACGAAGAACGAAAGAACAGGATTGCATCTGCTTTCACCGTCCTGCATCCTAAGGTGGCTTTCAGGCCTGTTCAGACAGACATTTTCAGAGGGTTTTGTGCTGGTTTGGGCTTGTCTGAACTAGTCTGACCAACCAATCAACCGTTTTATGTGACTGCCTTAAAGTATAAACAGTTTTAACCCTATAAAGCTATGGTATCATATTTGATATGCAATTTTTTTAACGATCTAAATGATTAACATGATCAAAATTTTGCTGATAATCCTGTTGTTCAAGTCTGATTGATAGTTTAGAGTTTTTTATCCAGTAAAAGCTCTTTTAGTGTAATTGTACAAATGCTTCACGTGTCTTTCTGCTGTCACATCTAGACTGATTTTATCAAGTAAACGTCAGAATAACTCATATTGTTAGTGATATTTCAAGATGAACATTACTGGACTGTTAAGCATGGTATTTTAGTATCTATGATATAATATTAGTTTTTATTAGTATTTTAAATTTATTTTTATATTTTTAGTTTAACGTTTTAGCAATTTTGTTGTGTTTTATCGTTATCATTTTGTATGAGGTCTATACTGTTTTTTATTAAGTTTTAATTTATTTAATATTTTGAATTAGATTACATTTTTTTTATTTGAATTTTAGGTAAAGTTTTATTAACTAATTATTTTCAATATTGTTTTATATTAAGTTTTAGTTCATTTAGTTAATATTTCGAATTAGATTTTATTTTTATATTTTCTATTTTAATTTTAGTTCATTTAAGTTTAGCAATTTTTTGTAATATGTCTATATTGTTTTTGTTAAATTTAATTTTAGTTTAGTATACTTTTTGAATATTTTATTTTATTTCAGTTAACGTTTATTTTATTTAAATTATTTTTTATGATTTTAGTTTTAGTTAGCAATAATAACCTTCAGTTGAGTAAATCATCATCATCATCATTTATTTATTTTAGAAAAATCTAAACATATTCTCACTATATATATAAAAACGCATATGCAACCGTTTTCTAAAATGTGTTTTTATATTTTGTCTAAAGGAAGAAACTCTTTCATTTAAAAAAATATGTGATTATTTCACATGTCAGGCTTTACAGGGTTAAAGAAAAGTTAAATGATTATTTTAACAGCCATTTCAAATACAAAAATAAGCACCTCGTCTCCAGCGTTTACAGACTATCGGACAATGACTGTCGCTCGGGCACAATATAATCCTGCCAGCGCAGACCATTCCCGCATTTACAACCCGATTGTTCCTCTAAATCTACAATCAATAGCCTGCTACTCAAATATCAGCGTCTCTCGTGTGTCTGCTGTGTCTCGTGTGGGCGTTCGTCTGTCCTCTGCCTGTCTCTGAGATCGGACTGAGAAAATAGAGTGGCTAATCTGCGTGACAGCAAGGTGTCATGCTAGAACCGCCAGCTAAACAGCCCGATGATCATCCTCATCTATGGCCATCGCTGGCCCCTCTGGACTCAATGTGCCTGATCAATCACCTGTCACGCTAACGGCCGCCTGCGCATTATCATCCAGTGACCTGGTCTCCAGTTCGCCCGTGGAGAGATATAAATAACCCGGCTCCACTGCAGCGTCGGACCGCATCTCGTGAGTTATTGTTGCTATGGTAATGAAACGGTGCAGAATGTTATGGAGGTTTTGTTTTCTTTGCACAGAATAAGAAAACTCAGAGACTCTGTTCCAAAAACAAGTGCACTTCCTCGCTGTCTGCTCTTCTAAGGTGACATCCTAACAGAAACAGATCCTTATACTGTATATGAATGATTTGCAATGTATAAAAGTACATACTGCACAACAATGTTGGTTAAATACATTTTTCATTGAATCGAGCTATTTAATTCTCAGTATAGTGTATATCAATTAGCATATTAATATACTAATACTTATAAACTAAAATGTATTTATATAAATTTGTTATTTATTTGTATTCATTAGCATTTGCAATTAATTAATTTACATAGGCAACATCCAATTGCCATCACTTAGAAATGATGGATTTAAAATGTGTAAGCATTAAATATATATTGCACAAAAATGTTGGGTGAAATAATCAATATTTAATTGCATTAAACAATTAAAATGTATACATTTCAGTCTAGAATGAATTAGTATATGAATACACAAAATGTATACTAAAATATATGTATACTAATATAAATAATACACTAAAATAAATATATACTAATGATATTTGTATTGATTAGTACAAGTGTTAAATCCTAACTGAAATATTAAACTATTAATATTTCAAACTAAAGTACTATGTATTCAACTATTTATAACTATATTTTTTTAGTTTAGAATCAACTAGTTAATTAATTAGTATAATAATATAATACTTATATACGAAAATTATACAGAATACACAAAATGTATACTAAAATATATGTATACTAATATAAATAATACACTAAAATAAATATATACTAATGATATTTGTATTGATTAGTACAAGTGTTAAATCCTAACTGAAATATTAAACTATTAATATTTCAAACTAAAGTACTATGTATTCAACTATTTATAACTATATTTTAGAATCAAAGAATCAACTAGTTAATTAATTAGTATAATAATATAATACTTATATACGAAAATTATACAAAATAATATATATATATATATATATATATATATATATATATTAATAATATACTTATTAAATTAGTTATTTACATTCTAAAGCAACATCCTAACTGAAACAAATCATTATAAATGTAAGATTTAAAATACATAAAAAACACAAAAAGCATAAAATTTCATACTGCACAAAAATGATGGGTAAAATAATTGTTAATAATTTTTAATTGGATTACACCATTTATATCTATATTTTTCAGTTAAGAATGAACTATTATACTAATTAGTATAATTATATTAATTAGTATATTAATATACTAACTACATACCAGTGTTATTTTAGTATCATTGAGATACTATTATAGTCTTTGTTAAAGTTTTTAATTAGACTTTATTTTTAAATTTTCTGGTTTTATTTTAATGTTAGTTAAAGTTTTAGCAATTTTGTTGTGTGTCTTTGCCAGTTTTATTAATTTTGCTGTTTTAATTCATTTTTATTTCAGTTTTAGTTTTTTTTTTTTGTACAAAGTACAAGTTAAACTAAATGAAAATGAGAAACCGATTATCGGAAACTAGCTGAAATAAAATACGTTTAAGTCTGTTATATTTTATTTTATTTTATTTCAGTTAACATTTATTCTATTTCAAGTAATACATTTTTTATGGTTTTAGTTTTAGTTAATTAAAATAATGTTTTAAATGAGAGATTTAAAATGTTTAATAAGCATAAAATACATACTGCACATAAATCTTGGGTAAAATTATTTAATTAAAATAATTACAGAATTTATATCTATACACTTCAGTTTAGCATGAATTGGTATTCATTAGTACAATTATATGAATTAGTATATTAATTTACTAAAAGATACTTACATACTAATATAAATTATATACTAAAATAAATAAATACTAATAATATACATATTTAATTAGTGCTTATAAATGTAGCCTATAATACACATAGAAATACATACTGCACAAAAATGTTGGGTAAAATAACCACTTTTTAATCTGATTAAACTATTTATATCTATTCTTTTCAGTTTAGAATGAATTAGCATATATGTTAGTATATATAAAAAAGTATATTAACTATTCATATTTTGTTTCCCATCATTTGCTCCAACGTCTACTTTTCAGCGAATCAGGTAGGGCGAAAGTCATAATCTAATTAATATTCATGACCCTATGTGCTGATTCGCTGACAGACAGCGAACCTCCTGAGAAGGACGTTAACAGGACGAAATGACTAAGAATATCGGGCAAAAATATGCATGTTTATATTTAGCCGTTGCAACAATGTTTCAGGCCTAATTATTAATCTTTCATGCCGAAAATTCTCAAATGTGACTCGTGTTTCTGTAAAGTTAATATTTTCGAACAGAACCTGATATGAGCGTATCCATGGCAACAGGCATTTAAAACGGATGGGATTTATAATAGGATCGTTCCTGGTTAAATTCTGAGGTTCTTGCTGTTTGAAGCGACAGAGAACATCGAAATACAGGAATCCATCAGTGTTTTAATGTGGCTGTCAATCAATAAGTTGAGTGGAAAAACTAATGAGGGATTAGATTTCATATTAGCATGATGATGGGACCAGACGGCGCTCGATTATAAAGACCTGATGTCTTCTGCTCTTATATAAATGCAACACCTCATGGGAACGCGAGGCAAAACCCTCCCACGCAATTATCAGCAATTAACAATTACATGGAGCTGTCTATCAGCGATTGATGGAGAAACACATTGCAAACAGAGCTAATCGCCGTCCTGGGTCGCACTGCGGCACATGCCACTCTCAGGGATGATGGGATACAGAGAAAACACCATCCTGCCAGGACAATCAATAGTCTGTGCTGCTGGACTCAAAGCAAACTTCACTCAACACACCCAAGCCATGCTGCATTTGAAAGCTGTAGCGAAGGGGAAGATTTTCAGTGAATTATGACTAAATTTGTTTCTCACACAAAGCGTCACGTGACTTTAGAAGATTTGCATTATTGTCAATGAGTCCTTTGAAATACTGGTATGGTGTTAGTTTAGTCACTGTGAACTAGAGCTGAAAGATTCATTGAAATAAAATCAATATTGCAGATTTGTAATGAGAAGCATTAATAAAGCTGTTGCCAAAAATGGAGACGCTTAAGGGCTTCGTGCAGTTTTTTGCCAAAATAAAAGCTTGATGGGTTAATGCTTGGAAATGAAGAAATTAAGGCATAAATATAATAATAATAATAATAATAATAATAATAATAATAAAATATTATTATTATTATTTATTCATATTTGATTAATATTGTATTAATTTTATTTATTAATAATATTAGTAAGAGTACTACTAAAATACTAGTAGTATTTTATAGCCATACTGATACATAATCCCAATGTTATTTTGGCCAAATTGTGCAGCCCTACATACAATCAAATTATTATTATTATTATTATTATTATTATATTAAATACTTGATTTGCTTTATTTTATCATGAAATTGTATTATAAAAATAATAACATATTCCTTATTTGGTTTAAAATTTAATAATAATAAAATTATTATTATAAATTTTTTTCTTATTGTTATTTTAATAAATGTATGTATTTCTATTTTTATTAATGCTATTAGTAGTAGTACTGTTATTTTATACACATACTGATATATAAAGCCAGTATGATTTGGGCCAAATTTTGCAGTCCTTCATACAAAAAAAAAAAAAAAAAGATTATGATAATAATTATTAATAATTATAATTGTTATTATAGATTACATTTTTAAATTTTTTATTGTGAAAATATTATAACAACAGTAATATATTCCATTTGGTTTACTATTTGTTATTATTTTTATTATTTATTTATTTATTATTATTGTATTGTTAACTTTATTATTAGTAGTAGTCCTGTAATTTATAATTCATACTGATATATAATCCTAATATTTTGGCCAAATTTTTCAAGCCCTAAAAAAAAAAAAAAAAAAAAAAGATTATGATAATAATTATTAATAATTATAATTGTTATTATAGATTACATTTTTAAATTTTTTATTGTGAAAATATTATAACAACAGTAATATATTCCATTTGGTTTACTATTTGTTATTATTTTTATTATTTATTTATTTATTATTATTGTATTGTTAACTTTATTATTAGTAGTAGTCCTGTAATTTATAATTCATACTGATATATAATCCTAATATGGTTTTTTGAGGCAAAATTTTGCAGCCCAACATACAAACACAGCAAACTTGGATCTCTAAATTAATTAATAGATAAACAAATAAATTAATGTACAAATAAATAAATAAAAATCACATTCACAATCTTAATCTGAAAAAAAAACACTTATATTTTTCCCCCAAATCATTCAGCCGTACTATAAAGCAGGGAAAGAGCTCAATGGAAGAACATGACAGCATACGTGCTTGAGAGCGAATGCGAATGAAGATTTCAGGCGTTTGTCTGGGACAGACCTCTCTGAATCATGGCTGGGTTGGGCTCAAACTTCTCCATGAGAAGCTGGGTTTGTTCGGGCTTGAGCGGCGGGTACAGGATCTCGTTCAGACGCGGGTCCCGCTGCTTGTTGTTGATGAATTCTGTCATCTGATCCACCGTCAGATAGTTTCTGCTCTTCACGCCGCTGGAGAGAGGAAGAGAGATCCAGGAAAGAGCATACGGTTTACAGTGATAATCATAACACAGAGATGAGCAACTACATTCTCCCAGCATGCAAATTACACAATGACTTTCAGCAAGGCGGATTTTTTTAAAGGAATGTCTCTGTTATGATCAATACCAATTATCTTTCATTAGGATTTTTAAAATTGTTACGCCCCCAACTAATTACAACACTGCAATGCTCTCATCTCATAAACATCATTTCAATAAGACTTCAAAGCATCATTAACTACTATACATGGAGTAATATATATATATATATACAAATAAATACATCAAATGAGAAGTGAAAATAGATCAACTTAAATAAATGCATACAAACAGGAAAAAAATATAAAAAAAACTTAAATTAACATAAAAGTATACATAAACAAAAAATAAACAGAAAAATTAAGCAAATAAATAAATAAATAAATGCATACAAACAGGAAAAAAATATAAAAAAAACTTAAATTAACATAAAAGTATACATAAACAAAAAATAAACAGAAAAATTAAGCAAATAAATAAATAAATAGATAAAAACTGAAAAAAAAACAGATAAAACCAATGTATAAATAAACAGAAAACATTAAAAAGAACATAACAATATTCAGAATTAAAATATTTAATAGAAAAATCTGACAAAAAAACAGGTAAATAGATAAAATAAATAAATAAATAAATATACGTAAACAAACAAACAGATGAAATAAACAGATAAATGTGTAAATAAATAAAATATCAATAAATAAAATTGTCAGAAATATAAATATATAAAAAAGAAAAAAAAACTGATAAACACATAACAATGTATAATTATATAAATAAAAAATAATAAACAGATAAATAAATGTATAAATAAATCAAAGATAAATAAATACATTAAAAAAAATTTGACAAATAAATACATGGATGAAAACTGAAAAAACAGACAAATATATACAACAATGTATAAATAATTGCATGTATAAATAAATAAAACCAGATAAAAAAGCAACAACAAAAAAAAGTAAAAGTATAATAAATAAAGGATAAATAAATTAAAAAATTTGAAAAATAAAGAAATAGATAAAAACATATAAATCATAAAAAACTAGGGCTGCACGATAAATCGCATGCGATATTTAACGCGCATCTTGTCAGTAAAGCCGGTTCTGTAATCAGAGGTAAATCTTCAACACCTGCGGGCTTTCACATGGAGCAGCATTAACTACACAGAGCCGTTGTTCACTGACGAGCTGCGCTAAAAATCGTGCGAATATGAACGTGATTTTGCGCAGCTCGTCAGTCGTTAAATATCGCATGCGATTTATCGTGCAGCCCTATAAAAAACGCATAAATAGATACAAATAATGCATAAAT